TCCAAGGAAAATCAATAATTTGACAACAAAAAGCAGAAGGCAGAAATCGCCACTTTATCATTGGCAACTTTTCAACCCTATACCATGCAATTAGTGCAACCTTGAGTGCCCCTATATGTCGTGTGGAGTTTATCTATTGGTCGAGTGTCGAGGGTTAAATGTCGAGGGCGAGGGTAAAACGTCGAGGGCGAGCGCAAAACGTCGAGGGCGAGGTAATATGCGTTCCACGCACATATTATAGCCTAATTTAAACTTCACGGCAAACCGGAGTGAATATTGTATTTGACGGATATGGAAAACCTGTCTTGTTTAGATATCTGCAAATGCCGGGGATAAGCTGAAATATTAGCGACTTCCCGTATCCTGTCGGAAGTACCCCGAACACATCTCGTCTCCTTACGAAGCTGATGATCGATGGCATCTTCTTGAACTGCTTTCAGTTCCTTAATGTTTGGAAAAGACTCGAGAGAAAAAACTAATTGATTTTCGAATCGCTTGAGAGAAGTCAACATCCATAAGTATTTATTATTGTAAATTAGAATAAAACGTTTGATACATTAAAGAGAAAACCGGTTTTTCTAATAGACAAACCGGATCGCGTCGGTTAACCAATGAGAGGACTCACATAAATTAGACCAATCACAAACGGAGTTTAAATATTGAACTCACCAAAGTGAGGCTGGAGGCTCGTGTGACCAGAGCCTCCTCGTCTTGTCCTCACTTCATAAGAGGCTCTGGTACTGTATTATGCAATAATATACCCATTTTTGATCTATGCATTGATAATTTGGGGTAACACATATTCAACCACACTTAAACCACTTATTATACTTCAAAAGAAAGCCATGCGTGTTATCACCTTTTCTCGCTTTGATGAACACTCAAGTCCTCTTTTTAAGCGCCTCCAAATCTTAAAGTTCACCCATCTCATTACATTACTATGACCATGTTTATGTACAAATATCATCGACAACTTTTGCCCTCGAGTTTAAATGATCTCTTTATTCCTGTCTATCAAATACATTCATATAATACTAGACTTTCATCAAATCTTTGTTTTTCTTTGCCGAAAATAAGAACAAATTTTGGATTATTTAATATTAGATATCAGGGAGTGAAAGCATGGAATGTGCTGAGTGAAGCTGATAAACAGATGACATTTTTACAACTTAAGAGAAAAATTAAAGCTGCTTTTATTAATCAGTATTAATTTTTTCTTTATTCCTAAAAATGATTGTCTTTTCTTTACATTTCTCATTTTTCTTTATGCTTTAAAAAATCGTAATTATTGTAAGATCAATCTTACAATTATTGATTAATTGTGCTACTTGGCCCCCAGTCTTTTAGCCTTATGGTTATTTTGGGGTGTCAGCTCCTTTATTTTAATTAAATAAATAAGTAACATTAATAGTAAAAAAGGAATAATGTAAAACAAAAAATGTAATTGTGTGATTATTACGGAGCAATAAATTGTCTTGTCTTGTCTTGTCTGGTACCCAGGGTACGATTCGTTCTGATAGTACAATAAAATACAGTATATTTTCGAATCACCATCGTTCTCGAATACTTTTAGTAATTTTACACTTTCTCGAAAAACAAAAAGAAACCTAATTACTGCCCTAAAGGCCCGGTCACACTATACAACGATAACGATACGACAAATCGTAAACACGCGATTATTGGCAAAAATATTGTGTTAGTGTCAACACTACAACGAAAATGATAAAATTATCGTTTGAGTATTAACGACCGCGATTTTAAAATCGCTCACCTGAGCGATTTTTTTTTCAGTCGAACGATAACGATAAATTTTTGACCAATCAACGCGCGTATACAAGTTATCGTATCGTTATCGTTGTGTAGTGTGACCTGGGCTTGATGCATTGTTCTGTACTGACATTAATAAAGTTAGTTATCAGGAAAACCTTTAAAATGTTGACAACAAATGCGAAAAATGTAGTATGAATTAAAGAAATGAATTAAAGTGGCACTATCATTAATTTTTTTTTCTTCATAATCCAAAAATATAAAGTATGCTTCATATTCTTACCAAAATTCAAGGCAAAATTATTTCATCTTCATGACTTACGATTCTTATTTGCCAATTTTACGACCGCCATTAAACGCGCCCAATTAAGCGAGAAGGCATTTTGAAGAGGATGTGACGTCATTCATTCAACACGCCGAATGTTTTTATTGTATTTCACTACTATTTCAACAATGTCTACTGACAAAGGAGTTTCAGAAACTTCACAAAGTGAACATTCGCATGGGAGCAAAGTGAGCTGTGATGAAGAAACCTATACGGTAACTCAAATTCAAGCGAAAATAGTGATGAAAAGAAGAAACCGAACCTAGAATTGTTGTTTGTTGAAAACATGGCCTATTTCTGTATGTTTAACAACAGGCGCCCAATCTCTGAATGGTCTATATATTTTGAATATTTGTACAGAATATTTATAACCGTTATAGTATTTAATAACGAAATAATTCAAAAAATATTAACAATATATGTAAAAAATATATCTAACATGTTAATAGAATGCATTTGTTGTCTTTCTGAGTCTAGTTGACTCTTTAAGTTTTCGTCGTACTTGAACGATCGTCAATACTGACACAGAACGACATAGGGTAAAAGAAGTAGAAGGCTAACGACTTATCTGATATACTCTCCGACATCGAGTCCAATATCTCTCCTCAGAATCGTTTCAGAGCGATAAATGTCACATCACTTAATAGTTGACTCGGCCCCAGTCGTCTCTGTGTTACTCAGTTTAAAGCGCGGGCGGAAGCAGGAAAGATGGCGGGTGGAAGCAGGAAATATGCAGGCGGTTTCTCCCTTCCCAGCGCGTGTGCTCACCGCCTACATGCCCTTGCTACCTTTCCTGCTGCCGTCCGCGCTTGAAACACAGAGACGACTGGGGACTGGCTCTTCTTCGAGAGCGTGTCCTTAATGGTAAAACTACGAATGAATAGAACCTACTGTAAGTGAATTGGTAACAGGGAAATTAAGTGATATACACAATAATATAGATGTAAAGACGAGCTTATGATGAAGTGAGTGTGAATTGTGATTTTATTAAACTTTATTATTCAATCTTGGACTTTTGTGAATTGTTGGGTGAAACAACGGAGGCAATCCCCAACAAAACAAAGTTCGTTATGTGTCACGGGAATTGCGCAAATGGTGAACAAACCATGTTCTTTCGTAAGAGGAACGTTCATACTATTAGGCGAAAAGCAAAATAGGCCGATAGACACGCACGCGTTGAAATATTATTTATAGCTATAACTTACAAGGCCTACTTTCAACTTCAAAAGTAAGTTTGTAAAAACAAGGAAGTCAATCAACTGTTGTTACACTATTAATAGTGACCGAAAGCAGGCCAAAGGTCATGTTTTCAAGACCTACTCTGGGGCGGTAAATCGCCTTAAATCGCCCTAAATCGCCTAAAATCGCATTAAATCGCGGGTTAAAATTGTCGAATTTCTCTTAAATCGCCTAAAATCGCCTAAGATCGCCTAAGATCGCTTAAAATCGCCAACATGCATTCTGCTTGATACATTCAGTCCATGTACTCAAGCTTGTCAATTGCTGCTATTTTACGGGCAAATCATGTAATCCAGGTGCTTTGCAATCAAAAGTAATGCAACATGAATTAGCAATCAAATAAGTGGATTAGGCTGACAATATTTAGTCACCCAATAGGCACCGGTCATTGACAAAAACAGAGCCTTTTCCTGCTTTATGCAGACTTTACAATAATTAGGTAATTCTGGGATCTAAAAGACCCATAGATCCCATACACTACCAGCAACAAAATTGAGCTAGTTACCAGAATGAGCTAATTTCATTATTGGTGTAAATGGAGGCTGGGCTACAATTTATATGGACTATGGAGGCTGGGCTACAAATTAATCTATAATCTACATGGCTTCTCAAAGCCTAATTGCTGTGAATTAGAACAACAGTAGGAGACTACGAAAGTCAATGAGTACGAGTGTTGATTTATATAATAAAGTCATCCTGTAATTTGTGCACTGTTGCATGTAAGATCGAGCACTGCATTGTATACAATGGTTGTACTTCAATCGACATGTGCATGGTTATACTCTAGCTCCTAGTTAGGGACTGCTCATTATTTATTCTACAAGGGGGGATTGAGGAGAAACTGGGGGGCCTTTAAATTTTTTAAAACCAAAGGGGGGGCTTTGAAAAAATACAGAGAGACGAAAGAAGGGGGGCTTTGAAAAGATTTACCAGTTTGAAAAAAGATTAGTAGCAACAACTTAACAACAAATAACAATGTTTATATGGACCTTTAATATTCATAAATGGAAGCCAAATAAAAAGTCTCTTATGTTCATGTAAATAGACAATTCCCATTATGGACTAATTTTAGAACTAGGGAAAGCGATGCAAGTCAAGAGTAGATTTTGGTGAAGATAGTGGGGGAGGTGGAAAAATGTTTTAGGGGAGGTGCAGCGGTCTAGCTTACATTACCCCCATGGAAAGTTAGCGCTTATTGTAGAACAGGCCAATATCAACGAGGTGAGGTATGTATGTAGTGTACATATGCACCAGTGTATTAATGAATTATGACTGTATGACTCCAATCTTGCCCTTCATTCCAATCGATACAAGTTTCTTTCAAAATATTGCATTAAAATGGTACCTGACACAGAGATGAATGGCTATCACTGTTTCAATTTTGCAGAGAAAACTTTCTTACGTCACGAAGTGTAGATCCTAAGCAACCATCACATTTTCACTTTGTTCCATCATTGAAACTTTCCCAAGGGGAGGTGCATGACCTTTCAGGAGAGGTGCAAAAATTCTCAGGGGAGGTGCAAAACGATCTCAGGGGAGGTGCGCACCTCTCCACACCTCCACTCAAAATCCGGCCTTGATGCAGATAAATCGCCACAGCTAGAAAGAGCATACTAAAATAAGTAAATTATTGCAAAATTTGGTTTAAATGTTGTAAAATACGGAAAATATAGCCTTGTAAAGTGTGCAAATTTTGTATACTTTTGTATTGCATGCGAAAATTGCAATACAAAAGTATACAAAATTTGCAAAATTTGGAAGGCTATATTTTTTACATTTTACAACATTTCGCAACCAAATTTTGCAATTTTACTAATTTTAGTATGCCCTTCCCGGGAATATACTTTTTTGCTAAGATAAAAAATTAGTCTATAATGGGAACTGTCTATTGGTCACATTATGGCTATCAAACGAAAAATATACGTGAGGTTATAAGCGATTTGCAACTCTCGTCTATTAAATTTTCCAGACCTGTATATACAATAAACAGTAAAACAATGATTACATCTTACATACCATACAATAGATGTTTTGTTGTTGTTTGTTTGCAGGACCTAAAACCACGATGTAGTGCGCCATTTGTTTTATAACACATTATTATTTTTTTAATTTTAACTAGTAATTTAGAATTCTTACCATTTATATACGATATACTTCATGTAATTTAAACATTACGGCATTACGCCGACAGTTTCCGAATGCTTTATAAATATGTTTGTAGCATGAAGAAAGCACGAGATTGAAACAGTTTAAATAAAATGCAAGCTAAATAAGGAAGTTTTGACATGATACAAAACAAGACAATTTTACTTACAAGGGTGACAAGGTAATTTATAGGATTATAGCTTATTTTGGAAATCAAATATTTATTATATTTTGCAATTTTAACTCGACATAAATTAAAAATATTAAAGTTTAAGACATGTGTAGTGCATGCCCCTTAAGTAGAGTATATTAACTGTTTACAAAATTTGTGGTATATGATGTAGCCATGAATGACCACATGACCCCACAAGATGAACCCCAATGGCTTCTAAATAGAGAATGGGTGAAAACTTCATGAATATTGAGCTTTATATGTGAATCAGGTTAAATACAATAATTAGTTAACCTAGCTTTATATAAAATGTACATACATGTTCTAATAATTGTATTTTGCTTCATACAATGCATATATGTGTGTGGAAACATTACATTATTATTCAGCTCACTCCCCACATTGGGGCTTTTCAGTGACTGATTACATCAAGTACTATGATTACTTATGTTAGCCTAGACTATTTATCTTTACAACAATGAGGATATGACATTACTTTCCTAACTGTG